ATATTTTGTTTGATTACCATCCAATGAATCTAGATGATACACAATTTCTTTCATCAGATTAATCACGACCAACAACCAGTGTCCACTGTAAAATAAGACAAAAGTTTAGACGGAAATGTTATATAGAAAGGCAAAAAACGAATAATTATAATAAATGAATTTAGAATGAAATCTAACTCATGGCCAGTATTATATGGCAAAAAGTACAACTTCTCTATATCTGCGGCCATAAATATTTTGACAAAGTAATCTTTGACTACATCTGGAGTGTGATCGATTGACCATGCGTTGATACAACTAGCAGATAAGAATGTGAATCTTGAAGTCAAATACTGCGAGACCAACATCTTGTCATACAATAACCTTAAGTAAAAACATAATCAACATTAGAATATTCATTTAAATGCGCAAATAAATTGTTCAATTATTTAATTAAAATTGATCGGAGTATTACCTGATGTAGGAATGCATAACACTGATGCCCAATTCAGAATGTTGGAAAATCTGGTCCAAATCCTCCTTGATAATTGTTTCGGCATATTCAAAATCGAAAATACCTTCCTACATAGGTATTTGACGGATGCCACCCTCAACCACATCTGTTGTTCCTACATATGTTTCAAGGCACAACCTAAATCGAGGAACAAATGCTTTTTTTTGTCTCGGCCTTTTTTTTGTTGGGCACCTTGCTAGATTCAGGCATTTTACCCTTGATGACTTGTTGCAACTATTGATCATGAACCTAAAAGTCATATAAATTCAGTAATTAATGTATAATAAGATCATCATGTAACTGTAATAGTACCTATTTTTTTGATGAAGCTGAATCGGTTTCCCGCACAATAATTCCCTTATCTTTTGATTTGGATTTTGTAGGAGTCTAAGATCATCATGTAAATAAGTAAATGTAAATGCAAGAATAACTTTCATGTATGGGTCGTAAAACATTTGAATACTTCATAATGGTGTTCAACCTACCTCATCATCTATGAAAATGAGATGTGACGGCCATGCAACATACGATTTTATTGCCTCTCCTACCACTGTTGTGTCCGAAACACCATCTGGTGTAGGCAACAACGCACCTCCTCTAATGCAATATCAATCGATACTTTCAAAAATCCAGCAGGGAGCGGTTTATGATGAAGTAGGTCTCCCAAAGTGTTATGCACTTTTCCCTTGCCAACCATGCGATAAGTCGGTGACGATAAATATAGCCGACAAGGTGAAATGCCCTAAACAAATAATAAAAATGATTAATGTGACAATTAAGAAAATTTTGCTATATTAATTTCAATGTAATATATACAATTATCTCTGGAAGCTTCTGCGGACAATTGATACTATTTTTGTCGCTAGTATCTTTATACTCTGGACCGCGCCTTTCTGACATGTATCTCTCTTTGTCCTTCTGTAATTCATGAATCTGAGCTTTCAATTCCTCCAACGTCTCCATCACTTCTTTATTGCTAGGATTTTTATTCTTTGGATGCTTATACAGTTTTGATGGAGTGACACCAAATCCCTTACCCCTTACACGCCCAGAATACTCAGGAATATTTAACACTCGACTCAGTAAGCTCCTGCAATCATCATCCTCAGCTGCAGTTATTGTCTGGGATAGAGTCTCCTGAAATATAAATAAAAGAATATATAAATATATTATACACTTTTGAGTTACTGACAAAACTAATGTTGTACTTACACATTGTTCAAATACTTGTTGAACTTCTTCCTGAACGACTCCATCTCTTCCCACACGGGCAGCCTTCCACACAACATGGTCCGGAAGAGATGTTGTCATGTTGCATCACTTTTCTCCTCTTCTAACTACACATTAAGACGGATAATAAAGCATTTATACCCCATTATATATACTTACTATTTTTTGTAACTATATAATATTAAAGCATTTATATATACTTACTATTTTTTATTGTAAGCGTGCATATCCCAAACACCCTTTTTTGTATGGATACGCGGGTTTTGATGACCGTTGCCGATTTACGTCACTGACAACCTGAAAAAACAAGTTTAAGTCATATCAGAACTCTTGTGGAAGAAGTATATATATTATACATTATTCATGATAAGTTGTACTTACACAAAATTCTTTGGTTCTTCGCTTGGCAATAAATGTCTCCCATTCTTCATCTGAAATCAGATCAGTGTACTTCATTGGACGCTCTGATTCGACAAAGTTTCCATCAGAATCTTTAAGAAACTTGTTCCTTAAAAACGCTCTAAATCCTCTCAGTCGTTTTCCGGCCAATTGAAGACAATATTTTCTCCTGCAATCATCAATATTAAAAGATCTCTGCAAACAAATAAACATACATATAACATGTTAGTATAATTAATTTAAAGATGTAACCGTCTTCATAATTAAAAAATATCAAATATCATACATGTATCTCGCTCCAAATTTTGTCTTTAGCCGGTTGTAACGAAGGAATTCTCTAATTATCGCAAGTAATTGGAATTTGCGAACGAACAAGTGCTCCAATGTAACTTGTCAGCATCGCACCGTTAGGCTCAATTAATTGATCTCTTTCATTCCAATGCACATCATACTTTACAGCTTTATCTCTGGAACGGATGATTTTTTTCATAATCGTTATTCATCTTTTAATATCGCCTTCCACGTCTTTTGTTGTTTCGTTTTCATCATGTGATTTTTCCTCATTGGTGACCATAATACCTTTAATTCAGAAAAACCAAATTAGCAAATGAATGACAAATATGTAAATAAGAAATATATACATAAATAATTCATTTACTTTCATCAACAACAATAACATCAATAACATCAACAACAATAATTCATTTACTTTAATTCAACAACCCTAACAACAACAACATTCCATTTTAACATCAACAATAACATTCCATTTTAACGTCAACAACAACACTAACAACAACAACATTCCATTTTCACAACTAATACTTCACTAACCTCTAATTCAATTTAATTGGATCCTAACAACTAACATTAATAGAACTTCTATAACTTTGTTAACTCTTTAACAAATTTCTACATGGCATGGCATTGGACATATTCAGCATCGAATCAAAGTAAAAAACGATATGCTCAACTTGCATCAAAATAAAAGGAAACAATATCAAACCGAAACAAACTACTCAACACTCGTATTAGTCAAAACCAAAACAAAATGTAACAATATAGTGTGAATGAAAGTCGAAGTCTGATATAGAAATAAAATATAACTGCTATATAAAAATATGCAGAACAACTTTGCAACTATTATATAGAAATACAATGTAATAAGAAACTGTGAAAATGTTAACAACCGTTTTCACCATTGATGTGCATGGAAAGCTAACAGTATGAAACAAATAACAATATTGCGAGATTGGTTCGAAGCAAACCTGTAGATTTCGTGCAAAATGGGTGGAGGACAAAGACAGACCGTCAAATGTGACGGACGGAGGCGAAAATGGAAGACGGCAACAAACAAATGGAAGACGGCGACAGACGGAGGGGAAGACGGCGACGGACGGAGGAGGGGAAGACGGTCGGCCGGAAGCAATGGACGTAGGTATTCGCTGGGTTTTTTATGTTCTACGAGCGTAAGAATGCCAACAACCACGACTGTTTCTGTTTATGAATTTTCTGAGAATTTTTAAATTTATGCCACTTAAACCTACAACAGCGCTTTTGCATGGCCTTTAGCAACGTTTTATAAAAGCGCTCTCTAAGGTCTGCTAAGGCAGGACCTGTAGCAGCACTCTTAAAAAAGCATTGTATTTTGTACTACCTATAGCAGCGCTTTTCTAAAAGCGCTTTCTTAGAAGGATCCTTTAGCAGCGCTTTTTAAAAGCGCCTTCGTAGGTTATCCCTTTAGTAGCGCTTTCTAAAAGTGCTTTTTATAAAAGCGCTGTCTAAAGTTTACTAATTTTTTTCTTATTTTTTCTGACTCTTTAACCGCGCTTTTTCAAAAAGCGCTGTCTTTTCATGCGCTGCTAAAAATCATTTCTGTCGTAGTGTTACTAATGAACAAGTAGAGCTTCTTGTTACCAATGGACAAGTTGTTTAGCGTGACGGTGAGCAATCTGATATCTTCTACTCCACAGAACCTCACAATACCAAACCTTTTTCCACATTTATTCCTCTTCGAAGGAATGACGAGTTCAAAGAGGTCTCCATGAGTCTTGAAAGTATCATAGATATTTGCTGCCGAAAATTGTCCGAGAACTCTGAGAAATAAACTGAGACGATCCCTAACTCCTTTGCACCTACGCATTTATCCTTAATCTGAAAGATATCCCACTGAAGAGAAGGCTTCCTCCCGCCGTTAAAGGATTTTCTTCTAACCCTATGCCATTCTGGCTGTTCCTTCGGCATGGTCGGAGAAAAAAAACAATTTCAAACTTTGAAGTGGTCTATATCATTTAGTTCATCTCTTACATGTCTTGCTGCTCAATTTCTCAAATTTGAATTTGAAAATTTTCTTTTTTTTTCTCTCATTTATCTTTCAAGTCATCTCATCCATAAGTGAGAGTTGAGAAAATTTGAGACAATTGTACATATTAGAATACTTACAAGACAATTATCTTATCCACATAAATTCTTAGTATTGGAATACTTACAAGACAGTTATCTGATCCATAGAAATTCTTAGAAAACGTTCAAGAAAGTAATTTACCTTTGCCCGTGTTGAATGGTACTGAAAATAACCTCACGCACATGAATGTACATCAGAAGTTGCTATCTCGTTTCTACATAAAAATATATTTATTATACTACAAACTGCACAAGAATGTATTCTTACGAAAAATGGTGGAAGTTTAATGGAAGTTTAGTGCTCAAGACTCATTTACTCGGTTTCTTATGTATATTCTCTTTCATGTCCTCTTGTTGATTTTTCTACTCTCTATTAATTATCATGGACTCTAATATATGATATAACCAAGTTCAAAAACATTCTTATCATTATATTTAAAAAAAAAAAATAGAAATTCAAATCCATATATTATTATTAGTAGAAGCTACTACTTTTGAAAGAACAAGTCTTAAACTGAACACTCTCAATGGGCAATTTGTCACTTGGAAAAGGACAGTCCAACTTCTCTTTCTCTGGCAGTAATTCACAAGGTTTAGGGCTCACATTACTTGTAACTCCAGAAACATCAGTGCAATTCCATGGAAGCTTCTTCTTCTTCACTTCATTCACTTCAATAATTGCATTAGAAATACATATTTCTGTAAAAGGGTCATTAGAAATCCCTTCAAGTTTTGCAGCAAATGTCACATTCTTAGCAGTAACATCTCTATAATTAATTCCTTTAATTTCAGGCAATGCTTTTGGGTCATATCCTTTGTCTGCATGTGATCCATAAGAGCCTATCATCCAAAACACATATTTTATTGTGTCCAACTTCATTCCTTTGACAAAAATATCCTTCACGAATCCGCCTCTACCGACAGCTGTTTTGATTCTAATGCCTGATTCTGTTGTGATTGCGGTTATGTCTTCGATTCTAACGTCTTGGATTCCACCTGACATTTCACTCCCTAACGCGACAGTAGCACTATCAGGTGATATACATGTTAGCCTTCTTATGACTATTTGTTGAGACGGCTTTCCAACTTTGATCCCATACTGATCCCATCCACTTTTTATGGCAACGCAATCATCACCAGAGACAATGTAGTTGTCTTCAATCCTAACATTTGTACATGAATCTATGGAATAGGAAGAAAAAAATTTGTAAAACAAATAATTGTTATTAGTAGTTTCATAAGAAATACACTTACTGACACAGACATACAGACACACGAACGCGACTCAGTGATAATTTAAGAAAATAACGCTTACCAGGGTCTATGCCATCTGTGTTTGGAGAGTCAACAGGTGCAATAATGGTAAGTCCACTTATAATTATGTCACTGCAAAAAGTAAAGCTTCATCAGTAAAAATTCAAAAGAGAAAAAAATGTATTAGGGTTGAGAATAATTGAAAATGGTGCATTTTTCTAACCTGCTGTAAATTGGATGAACAAACCAAGATGGGGAATTGACCAAAGTGAGATTAGATATTTGGATTTGTTTTGAGTACATGAGTTCAATCATGTATGGTCTAGTGAGTTTCAGTTGATCCTTCTTGAACTTGCTCCACCAATAAGATCCTTGTCCATCAATTGTTCCGTTGTTACCGGTAATTACAAGATCAGTGAGATTATTTCCAAAAATGAGACTGCTAAACCTTCCATCAGGTGCATCTCTACCTCTTCCATAAGAAGGTAAAACAGGAAGTTGAGGCCATTCTGATTCATCCTGTATCATATAAATTACCATTTAATCTATTATAAATTTTCCAAATGCTGCAAAATAACTTATATCAGTTAAGCTGTGAAAAACATACCTGAGATGCAAGAATGACAGCGTCTTTTTGGAGAAAAAGTGTGAAATGGCTTGTGAGGTTGAAGCTTCCGGTGAGCCATTTACCTGGTGGAACAATAAGTTGTGCACCACCATCATTTGAATATTGGCTTAGGTTAGCTATTGCAGATTTAAAAGCCTTTGTGTTAGAGGTTTTTCCATCACCAACACCACCAAAATCTGTCAAAACTGCACTGTGTTTTCTGCAATTGATTGCATGGTAATCAAAATCGTTCAATTTACTACTTGGTGTTCCGCATTCTACTACTGATCCCAGTATCAGAACTATAGAAATTACACCAATAACCTACACAAAAATTATAAGTGAATATATATAATAATGATAATAAACCAGAAGAAACCTTTAAAAAAAGTGAATTACATAGGAATTTTGAAATCTTGAACTGTTCATGTTTTGATGAGACATGGCACTTGATATGAAAACAGACGTATATCGCAGTGAGGTATATATAGAGATGAATAGAAAATGGATTTGGAAATGCGTAAAGATCTGACCGGTTATTGTTCAATCAACAGTTATTGTTTAGTGGCTTAAATGGCATGTTTATCGAGTTTAATTGGATTCTTAGAAATAAAGGTTAACATGTAATTCTTCCTCACGACATTCGCAGAAATTGATTGAATTCGAAACATGTCCATCTTGATTGAAATTAAATGTTAAGATTTGTGAATGATAAAAGAATAAAGTCATTCAAGTGTTAAGATTAAAATTAAGTGTTAAGATTTGTGAATGATACTTTCATAATTTAAGTGTCGGTTTATGTTTATAAGAGAAAAAATATCAACATTCAATGTCCTTGTTTTTGTTGATTGGTTTATTGGTGTTGGACACAGATGAACAAAATCATAGAAAAGTGATTTCTACTTTTACTGTCGTTAATATTAGTCAATATTTTTTCTTCATTTTTTTCTTGTTAATTAATAATTTTTAAAATGCTTATTATCAATAAAAACAAATAGATAATAATATAAAAGGAAAATATTTTATTAATTAAAAACAGGACAACAAATAACTATATATATTTAAATTTATGATTTTACTCAACTTTAATAGTATCACTATTAACTATCTCTAACTTAGAGAAAAGTTAAAAAAAAATACTTCCATATAGTATGAAAAAAGTCATTTCCTCCCTAGAGATGATTATCATTTCTTTTAATAACTTAAAAATGGTAAGATACAGATTAACTCTGATGTTCTTGATAAGGAATAACAAGATATGTTTGTCATCCCAAGTAAGAGTTTTTAGTTGTTTCTCTCTTGGACGGAGATTTGACACTAAAAGTTGATACAAAACTTTTCTTATTGGTCGTAGAATAGCAGGACTGCTGAGATTATCGTAGTTGACATAAATTAGGCGAAAGTGATATGAGTAGACATTGTTGAATCTATAATGTTCAACATAACAACTTTCCTTTTCACAGTTTATTGTCTAAGTAATAAGTGACTGAGTAATTGTGATAGAAGAGCCATTAATATAGGACTGGATTGACTTAACATTATGATCAGATGATCCAACGGAGGCATTTAACCAGAGCTCTTTAACGAGATTAATGTAGATGAGTCCATGAAGAATGTCAAAGTAACAATTCAACTTTTGTTTGTGAATAGATTTTCTTATATCAAAACCATTGTCTTTCAAATCATCGAAATCAACAAATTTTTCATGGATAATGAAAAAAAGATTTTCATTTAAGGTTGTTGTAGACATTTTTGAAGAAAAAAAAGACTTTGAAGACACAAAGAGTTGGAAATGAGACGTTGAAACTAGGAATATTGTTTAAATAAAGTGGAGAATAGGAAGGGAAACAATAAGAGAAGTCAAACGCCTCTTTGAAAATCCAAAATACACGTTACGTTTTTTAATATGGATGATCATTGATATTCTAGTGATATGATTTCCAATGTGCGCCATGTTTTTTTTAGAAATAGAAACCATATATTACCTCGGTTTTTAACAAAATCGAGAGAACAATCAACTTATTATCTTGGTTATTTAAAAAGTCTGAGGGAAAAAATAATTCAGGACTTTTTTTTATTATTATAATTTTTTTATAAACTAAATGATATCTCGTCGGTTTCCTTAATAACCGAGGAATAAGGTAATCAGACTTTATTATAAAATCACTCATTAAACAGATTTTACCTAATCCTAACTTATATGTAGTCACTCCAAACTCGAACGCATCATTCTTTTAGGATCCATCTTACAAAATTGTGTTTATGTTGTTGTTGTTGTATTTAGAAGTTTGCAAAAGTTTTGTATGATGAATTGTAAGTGCAGAAAAACATTTTTTCAATAGTTGAAACAGATAATTCCTTTAAAAGTTTGATGCACTCAATGGTTGTACCAAATAACTCCTAGAAATTGGATGCATGTAATATTTGAACCAGATAACTTCTTACACCAAAATTCTTTTTTTGCTGTATTATTGTTTTTCAATATTTTGTGTAAACAATGTAATTTTTAAAATAAAAAAATATCATGTTCCCGGTTTTATTAAAAAATCGATGGGATAACTTAGCGTGATAATTCTAAATATTGATCACCGTCCTTAAACAAATTTTTGTCGTTCATTTTATAATTATCAACGCTCGAGACACTACCATTAGTGATTCGTGTGAAACCTATAAAATTTATATTATAAAGGTCTTTTGATATCTATAATTGATAAAGAAACGTCATGAAGCGCTTAAAATTCTCTACATCCTCCATATTAACTTTTGCCATTAGAAGTTCTCTATGATGGATTGTAAGTGCAGAAAATTATTCGGGTTTAGAGTTTATGTTTTTAAATATTCATTTGAGCAGAAATTTATTTTTCTAACCTTTTTTTTTCTAACATTTGTTGTTTTGTTTTATATCAGAAACAAACACTTGCAAGGTGAAGCATTTGATCTTCCCCAAATATCAAGGAGTCGAAGATCTCCAACATATGATCTTCAGAGATAAATTAATTTCTATTTTAATATTTTGTATAAACAATATAATTGTTCTGGCATGGGCCCTGGCTCGACCGGGCAGGCCCAGCCCAATGATGTTCTGTGAGGCCCAATCTAACTTGGGTCACATCCGTCGAGCACATGGTCCCCGCCGGGCAGACAATGGTCCCTCCGCGGGCAGAACCTCCTCCCTTGTTGAGCAGAATAACACGTCCTTCACACGTTCTCCACGTGCTCCCCTCCGCGGGGACACGTCACCAACCAACTGCCCAACTCCGAAAGAGCAGGTCAAACCCACTTTCCGGATATCACGGGACAGTTGAACTAGGACGAAGACCACGTTCTGGTCTTCACTATGCCACATAAGCCCTAGCAGTCACTTGGGTTGGGCCTGGCCCTCCAGCCCAACTCAAATGACCGTTGGCCCTGCACTGGGGTCTCTCTATAAATATCCCCTCTCACAAGAGGGCCAGGTATTCTCTTCTTACCCCTTTTCTGTATTTGTTGTCACTTTGTCCAAACTCTTGCTTTGGCATTGGAGTGTCTTGCAGGTACACCCCCATCTCCTTTTCAACATCGGTGAACAGGCAGCAGATCAACGGCGCGTGGCAAGTCCTTGGTCCCCTCCTGATCAGGTCAGATCAGTGGCGCCGTCTGTGGGAACATAAAACTTATCCGTTCTTTCGAGCAGAGAACCAAAGTTTCATCAACATTCCGCGATCATGGCTAGCCCACACCAAGACGATGTCGTTCACGGCCTCATCCTCGCTCCCACCGCGAACGGCGGCAACCAGACAAAGGCATCCCAACCTCCGGAAACCGACGAGAGGGACGGCCAGACTGCCTCTCCCTCATCCGCAGAAGCTGCACACCAGACTGTTCTTTGACCAAGGAGCCCGACAGCATTCCAGCCCATCCATGTCCCGGCCGGAGCAGACCCGGCGGTGGCCGCCCTCTTCGCGGCCATCAACCAAACGAATCAGTTGTTGTTTCAAAAGAACGCACGGATTGACGCACTAGAGCACGAATCCCTGTTGAGGTCCCCTCCACGGGAAGACCAGAACGGAAACTCGAGGAGTCCATCCCCTTGCCCCAAGAATCGTCGACCCCGGCTAAAGAGGCCCCAACCCGAAGCAGTGCAGGAACGGACCAGGTCGCCAAGGAGACAAGTCCGGGAGCAACGGCCAGCCATGGGGGATCCCCCGACCAGACCTCCGCGGGTCGAACCCCCGATCAGGAGGCCGAGGGCACGAAATCAAGCGCCTCCACCACCAGTGTCATCACTCCCTCAGTCGCCAACTCTCAGAGACGAGGACGACTACAGGACTCCCTTGTCCTGGGAGATCATGGCGGCGCCCATCCCCCACGGGATGGAGAAGCCCCCGACACTCTCGATGTATGACGGTACCTCCGACCCAGACGACCACCTGGAGGATATCGAGGCTATGCTCGACTACCAAAATGTCCGAGGAGCTATCAAATGCAGACTCTTCTCGAAAACGCTGAGGAAGGGTGCCATGACGTGGTACAAAAGTCTGGAGCTGGAATCCATCACGTCGTGGAGGGTCCTGAAGGACCTCTTTTTAAGACACTTCACAGCGTCCCAGCGTCACCCGAAGACAGAAGCTGCGCTGGGCGCCATAATCCAGGCCCCCAATGAGCCCCTCCGGAAGTACATCGAAAGGTTCACCCGGGAGGCAGTGCAGGTAACGACATCGGACGAGATGAAACGTTACTAAAATACGAAGAATAATAATATTCGACAATCATGTACTCAATCATCATATACCTCAGCAAATAAGGTTTGAGCCAAACAATTTACTATTTACCTTATTTCTTTTATGAATGTCCGTATGATTGTTCTTCTGCTAGGATTTTACTTACTTTTGAATTCTTGTATGTCTGTTTGATTCCACACTTAGAAAAAAAATGAAAATAAATTGTTTATCTGTTGTTAAACCCTTTGAGCCTAAGCCATTTGTTTTGGCGAGTTAGTCACATATTTAGACGATTGACTTGAAAGAGAAATATTTCCACCCAATCTATGAGCTAGGTAGATTGTATTTTTTTTATGCTTTGTTTTGATATATGCAAAATGTTTGTGGTTGCTTATGAAATGAGAAACATATTATGTTTGGGGTTAGGGGTACTAGAAGAATAAAAAAAGGTGATAATAAATTGAAGCTAAAAAATGGATATTCGAGAGTTCTAAGACCCATACGTGAAAACAAACAAAGATCTTTGGTTAAACCTATTAGCTAAATACATATCCCACCCCGACATAAGCCAAGTTACAACTGACAAAAGACTTATAATGTGTGTTTTCTAATAGATAGTGATAAACTCTTATAATTTTTGCAAATTCATATGTTTGATATCAATTGTATGTGAATGATAGTTTATCATATTATTTCAATATAAGTGAACGATGAGATAGAAAGAAGATTGAGTGCAAGGAAAGT